GTTGATGGTTGTGTGGAGAGATGTTCAGAGCGGGTGTGGGGTGTTTGACTGGGAGTTTCAAATCTACAGTAAAACTCATTCATGTCTTCAGCAAGTTGTTGAAATCTACAGTAAAACTCATTCAGGTCTTCAGCAAGTTGTTGATTGGCCTCAGTGCTGGGGGATGGTGTCTTGTAGTTGGTGATGTCCTTCAGGCCTTTCCACACTGATGCAGGCTCATTCGCAGAAAACTGGTGTTCTAGTTTTTTAGCGTAGTTCCTCTTGGCCACTCTAATCTCCTTATTCAGTGTGTTTCTGGCCTGATTGTACAAGACTCTGTCCCCCCTTTTGTAGGCGTCCTCTTTGGCCTGACGAAGATGACGAAGTTTTGCTGTAAACCATTGCTTATCATTGTTAAATGTTAAATGAGTCCTGGTAGGGATGCACATGTCTTCACAGAAACTGATATATGATGTGTTATTTGTCCAAATAATGTGTTATTTGTCCAAATAACAAATGACAGCTTTCTGTTGGTCTTTATATAGACACGTAAACACACTGTGGTTGGTGAAATCACATGATCAGAATGATCAGAAAGAGAATGTGTGTTTTCTTTTGTAAACATGAACATGGACTAATTTAATTGTATAGAATCGTTGGTTTGAGTGTAAATTTTGCCAGATTCTCAAGATTATATGAGCCTAAAGTTGTTTTTTAATTTTTCTGATATAGATAAGGAAGCGGATGAAAACAGTTTGGTAGCATATCTCTAGATCATTGCCATATAAGGCCTTTTCACACAACCGCTCCTCTACAGACATTCATCACTTTATGAAAACACATCTTTATACTCTCTAGAGACAAGTTTTAAATACAGCCAAGTGTGCCTTTATAAAAACCAGTTTAAATACAATAAACACTTTCTATATAGATTAGATATGATAAACACTTACATACAGAAACCCAGAGCTGTAATGCATTTTGTTTTTTGTACTCTAAAAAGTAAGACTTTATATGGTTGTTGAATTTCTAACAGTTTTAATGGTAATACTTTACAATACAATCTCATTTGTTAATGTCAGCTTATGCATTAGCCAGCTATAGAAGGGTGGGCTTTTTTTCTCATTTTATAAATTCATAGTTACATATTTGTAAACTATGCAACCATATTATTATTATTCCTAACTAAATTTATGCTTAGCAAAATTTTTATAACGCTTATTTTCACTTTAAATAGAATGCTAGTTTTTATTTCTACCATCCAATGACAATTGTGATATACATCTGTAGTTGCATGGAAAACTAGATTTAGTGTCTATATATTCTAATTCAAAATCTGCTGTATTTTTTTCCCCTTGAGAAACAATTTGATGTGAAGCAGCTGTCTCTGATTAAATCTGCAGTCAGACAGAGATTGCGACGATGTCCTTTTTAAATGACGATTAAATCTTGCCGAGGAGAATAAAGGCCACGATGAAAACAAGCACTGACAGGCTTGAACAGGACGTGTAAAAATGCCCTCAAACACCCGACAGTCTCGAGCAGATCGAAAACTGCTGCTGTTTACTGAAATAAAGAAGCACTGTACTGAAAATCCAAGTCATGTATGTAATTTTTTGTTTTAGAAGCTGTTAAACGTGAAGTAGGTCTGCCATTTGAACATGCATTTACTGTAGCACAATTAAATAATAATGATATTGTCATTTACTGGGCTAATAATCATGCAGAAATATAATCATGTAGAACCACCCCAAAAAAAGTTTGGATAGTTTTAGTGTCTGATGATGAACTCTTATGTTACAGCTGTTTCCCCAGTTAGCCATAAAAACACTTACACAACTATATCACAAAACATATCAGAAAATATATTTTTATTTCGAATAAATATAAATTGGCTTGAGTAGCAGAGACGTTCACAGAACCTATATGTTGAGGAAACATTAATGGAACATTTTCCAAATCCTCTCGCACAAATATCCTAGTTTTAAAAGAAGAAACTTTCCTGGTTAATTATAAAAGTGTGTCATATAATAATAATTATACAAATAATTAAAAATACAGATATACAAGTGTAAAAATAAACAGAAGGGGTAGAAACAGTTCAGTTTGTCCTGAAGGGTGTTTTTACCGTTACTGTACATTTCTGAATAAGCATCTTAAGTCTCTTTCTGTTCTTCAGCTGTTTTTCTTCTTTCTTCTGCTGGTGTTTTCAGTCTTACGGCTGGATTTCTTGAACATCTGAAGAGGTTTAAACCTGCTGCATTTGTCCGGCTGTTTGTCCGTCTGTGTCAGGAGCTCTGGAGAGAGAGACACAGTGTTAAAGCAGTAAAAACGATAAGCAACACTGTCTCTGATGAACTGAACTGAAGGTGTTTCTCACCCATCCTCTGGATCACAGCCGTCAGCATCACGTCCTCCTCCTCCTCCCTGAAGAAGAACACGAACACATCCATCAATAACACACGATTATCATGTGACCTCACACGGCTGATCAGGTGACCTCTGACCTCTTCCTGTCCTGATCCAGGCTGCTGATGATGTCATTTCTCTGCTGGATGATTGACAGCAGGCGTGACATCAGCTGATGCTCCTGTTGTCTGTCGTCGGAGCTCCAGTCCTGCTCTGAGTATCACACACACATTCACAATCAACTACAAACTACTGACACGTCATCCTCAGATCAGTTCATACCAGATTAAAACAGAATTCACACTAATCACTATTAAACCACAGCAACACAAACATATTCACATGTATAAACTTGATTTATTGAGTTCTTCACCTGGTTTGTTGAAGAGGCGTCTGATCTCAGAGTCCACATCAACCTGTTGATCCTCCAGACGCTGCTGCTTCACCCTGAAAACACACACACACACACACTCACACACACGTCACATTACACACACGTTATTCTGCTCAACATGTATCTGTGTGTGTGTGTGTGTGTGTTACTCACATATACACCAGCTCTGTGTCTCTGCGC